ATCTCCAGAGCATTGCTCTGGAGACGAGAGCACCGTTTTCACCCCCCTTCCTCCATTTCCGTCCATCACAAGGACCTTGTTGAAGTTTTTGTTCATTTTAACCACAATTGAGCATACTTTTTTCTTCTTGATTGTGTTATCACTTTATATTATTTTGTTATATTTCACTAAAAAATAAAAAGCAAAAAAGGGAATTCATTTGATTTCTTTTCTATGTTGAATAGAGATGAAGCTGCACGGATGTGAGGTACGATCCAGGACCGTTAGTAGTATGAGCTAACGACCAATTGGATGACATTTTCCACATGTTCCCATTGGTCAGCTGGATGGAGAAGGAGCACTGATTGGCTCAGTTTCTTCTCAGTGTTCCAAGAATGGCAGGAGTGAAGACAATATGCATCTCCACTTCAAACTGCTTTGCAGGGATTAGGGAGTAGAAATAGCATCATTTGGAAAAGTCCAAATACAAATGTCTCTTCTTTACTTGGAGATGCCAGGAAACGAAACCCAACTTTGACCCAGAATCTTCTAGAGAAATCCAACATACTTCAAATGAACAAGACAGGCATTCACTATTTACACTCCTCTTGCAAGAACAGCTGCATATTTCCTTCAACAAAATGCTGCACCTAAAAATCTAGCTACCGCAAAATTCAACTGCAGGAAGCAGAACCAATCTGGGCATTCAATTGGATGCTGCCTCTTCATCACCTGGCCTCAATCTATCAAGAGCAAAAGCAAGAGCTGGATCTAAATTTCCCAATGGCCTGGAAATAGAATTGATATATCTTGGATTTCATGACAGCTGAGGAATAGAGTCATTGCCAAGCTCATTAACCCTACAGCAAGATAAATCATCTCAATAGGGATTGTGCATTCCAATCCGGAAGACGCAGCAACAGAACTCAGAGTCATAATTCTGGATGCATTTCTACAGTTACAAATCCAAAGTGCAGACATTTCAGGAAGCAAAGGAAACAGGAAACAAAAGATCTCCCCAAATTAAACAAAGAACAAAAATCCTCTCAAGTTCTGAAATATTGTGCATCAAAAGCTTACTGAAAAAAAGCTTTTTGTGAGAGAGAGATGCTGATGTTGGGAACACATTTCAGTATGTGAGCCTTTGCTGATGGTCTTAAATGGTGCAGTTCCAAAAATACTGGAATTGCACCATTAGATTCAGTTCATTCTGTACACAGAACCTTAATCTTGCTTGCTACAAAAGGCATCACTGTACAAGTCTACTGAAACACATCTGAGGCGATGGCAGAACTACAGTATTTGTAAAGCTCCGGTTCTCCAACAGTTTTTAGGAAAAAATCAAAAAGCAGGTTAAGGATTTGGCCACTTTCAGTTATGATTTCTCAAATGCTGATTTCCATTTCTATTCTATGCTCAACAGTAACCTACGTAGCTTCCAGATTCCATTCTGGGGTCAGTCCTGGTTTTAAATTCGTCACCCACACATAGCTGAAAAGGAGTGACATGAAAAGTAATTGCTACTTTAGGATGGGGGTGGAGGCACGGTAGGACGTAAAGTAAGAAGTGAATCTGTAACAAAACGATGAAATGCCAGTCTCGATCCTAAAAGAACTGTCTCTGATCATTTGGCAATTTGATTTTCAAAACATTTTGGGATCCTGGTGCAAAACTCACTGTTCCTCCAAAAATGTACTGACACATCTCTCCTACTTCCTAGTGACCCTTTATTAGTATTTACGAACTCAACTCACTAAGCAGAGTAAATAATTAAAATGTCAGCTGTTGTGGATATATTTCCCCAACCTCTCTTTTATAATAACTACTGGTGATATTATAAATTCTTCTTCCCCTTGCACAGTAAGGCAACCTTGTAATGGAGATCTGGACTGGAGGAAACATGTTGAAATATCAGAACATAGGTAAGCTTCATTTGCTGCAATTTTTAGATGCAGTATTAAACATAGGACAGAGGTTCATTTAGTACAACATATGGTTCAATCTGTAAACCCACAATATGCATTTTAATTTTTTCCAGACACACCTATGATAAGTCAAAATCAGTTCTAGTTCTACCTGAGATTTCTTGCTTTCATTCTCTCTCTTCTCCAGCTGAGTCTTCAATTTTCTTCTCTCCTGTTCAAGTTCCCGCACTCTCTTCTGAAGTTTTAGGAAGAGGGTCATGTCCATGGCTGCCTTCTCCAAGCCAGCTTCCTATAGAGGAATAGGAACAGATAAATCTATGAAGGAAGGGTAAAGCAACACAGAAGATGCCAGCTTCCTGGAAACCTGGAGAATGTGTCACTTTGCTGAAGATCATTGAGAAGCACCTACAAATAAGCTGAACACATTTGAGAAAGAATATCTAGTTTGGTTCTCTTTTGCAAAACAGAACTTGAAGTAAGAATTATTGCACTTGCTATGTATCTAGTTAGTTCAACTCTTTATGGCTCAGCAGAAAGTCCAAAAAGCACCTTGCTCCAAAGGACAAAACAAATTAAACAGGCAACTAGGACAACATTCCCAATATGGGGAATTCTTCCCAGACCTGTTTTTATCCTCCACAACTCCTGTGGTCTCCTATGTATAGAAGGAAATTTTAAAAAGGGCTTCTACACATCCAGGTTATGAAAGACATACAAGACTTAACAAGAGCATTTTGCATGTAAGAAAAGGCTTCACGTGTCATACGTGTGGCATGGCTTGGGGCCGGGTTACTTATGGGGCCATCTCTCCCCAGTGGTGTCTACCCATCCCGTTAGATCTGGCAGGAGAGGCATGCTCCAGGTCCTGTCTGCAAGAGAGTACTATCTAGTGGGACCCAGGAGGAAGGTCTTTTCTGCCATGGCACCTACCCTTTGGAATATCATCCCCTCTGCGATCAGACTTGCCCCAACTCTGCTGGACTTTCGCAAGGCATTAAAAATGGTTTTGGTGTCAAGCCTGGGGCCCTGATAGTGTGGATGAACCTGCTTTTTGGTTATATTGGTTTTGAGGTGTTGTAATTATTCTTGGCTGCTATTTTATGCCATGTTACGTTATTTATGTTTTTCAGCATTGGTTGGGTTTTTATTCTTTTAGAATAAAAAGCGTAAAGAGTGATGTATATGAGATGGGCGGCCCTATTAATTTAATTAATTAATTAAATGGGTTGCAATGGATTTCATCCAAAGCAAGGCAGAATTTCACAAATTCTGTCTTCCGCTTTGTAATTCTCAATGCCAAGTTTGACAAGAGCACTAAAACATGGAGGACCTCTAGTTTAAGAAGTTGTAACTCAAACACAAGCTTTGCACTTGTAACTTGAAATGTAGCAGCTTTTAAAAGACTCTAAAATGTATTGGAATTTGACCCTTGAATGCCTTGTGTGTAAAGACTGCAAAGCTATATAAATATATCACTAACAAATGCCAGCCTTTACTTTAAAATATGATTACTTATTATGCTGTATGCACAGCCTTAAATGTCTGGTAAAAGCATTCGTTTAAACAGTAATCCTCCATAATTGGCTAATTAAAAAAAATAAAACCAGAAAGGTTTCTCTCTATACAAAGCTGAGGTTGTAACACTTGCCACTCCAGACTTGATTAGTAAGCCTTTCAAATAGCTTAGTAATGGTCCTTTCAAATTGCTGTAGTTTGTTCAAAACAGATTTCTTCAGCCCTCCATCTTAGCGATGCTGGGTGAGAATTTGAGGACTTGCAGTTCAGCACAGATGGAGGCCACTTGGTTGACTGAGATACCTTAAATGCAAACATGGATTTACTTTGCCTCAGCAGAAGAAATTCTGTTTTAATTCCATACCTCCACTTGCTGTATTGCATCTTCTGTATCTCCTATCTCAGATGTAGAAATGGATGGGTAGTTGGAGTCCGATTCCAAGCTGCTTTGGTTAGATGGATTCCTTCTGTGCCCTGGGGTTTGCTATCCAAACAGGAAACGTGATTAGACTTACTCAGAACTAAGACAGGCCAAGGCCAATTAGTGCTATAACACAGACTGGCTTTTAAAAATGACGCACAAGAAAACAAGTATTTTATATGAGTGAATAATCTGTGTGCCAGCAATAAGAAAGGATCCTCCAATGTTGCAACTTGGCAATTTTACACCTCAGTGTCATAGACTCACCTCCTTCAGATGGTTACATCTATTATTGGGAATACCTACAATTTTGTTGTGGAAAAGAACACTATATGTTTCCAGATTAAAATAGTAAAATGACTCTCTACAATTATATCTCGGGTATATGTACTATGGATATATTCAAGTACTAACCACCCTTAACTATGCAGCCCATTAGGCCCAGCCCTATCCTTGCCAACAGAAGTCTTGCTACTATCTGGATGGTCAACTGGGTCTCTCCTCCACTGTGGGATCCTGGACTTCAGATCAGAGGTCCAGTCCTAGCTGCACCATTGAGTTTCCCTGAAAAACAGAGAATCCAGAGAAATAACTCCTGGACCAACAAACAGATGCAATTTGGAGGTTGTGTTATCAGCTGTCACATCATACTTCAGGCACAAGAAAAACAGTTGTCAGATTGACCTCTCTTGAGACTGGAACCATTGTTACTCTAAAAAATAACAGTAGGATCTCTATCTCTTAGGAAACAACAATGTTAACATTACAGTAGGCTGATGAAAGGTCATTTGGCTGATGCACGAAAACCACATCAGAGGACATGTTGACACTTGTATTCCACATGGGCTTCCTTTCACCATCCAAGCATCATACCAGATGAAACTGTGACCGAGGAAGTCCCAAGTGATAAACAGAATGTCAGCCATTTAGATGTTTAATTTACTGCATCTAGGAGAGGCTTCAAATTTGTTTATAGCAGCAGAGGATAAAGGCATGAAGCCTCTGGTCTACAGACTGCTCATATTCCTCACATGCTCATATTCTTTGGTCATGTGTGCAATTAAAATCTAAATTAGAGCTTGGCACAAATGACCTTTCAAAATTCTTCACTAAATATTGAAACAGAGACAGTGGGTGGATAATTTCTATGAATTTGTCCAGAAAAAGGAGTGGTTCTCTAAGAGTTGCATAAAGGGAGAAACACCACCCCACAGCAGCAACTGTAGCACTGCTACAGAAAAAAATTCAAATCAAACTGGCACCCAACGTGGGGCTGGAGACAAAGTGTGTGCTTTGAGAGTTGTGTACACAAGCAGTAAATGAATGAGAAGAAGGAGCTATTTGTCTAGCTATTGAATCCGAACAGTCAATCACCAGAAGTTTGCTAAGGCACTCGGTGGTTTTCAAGGGAATGGAGGACCAAGTACAAGCCATGTTAGAGGCCATTTGTGCCATGGTGATGTCTCACCATGAGAAAAAACTCGAGTAGGGCCCTGGAGTTCAGCCGTGTGGTCATGAGGGCAGATAAGCTGCCCTGGCTGCTAGCCAGGACTGTTGTGGGGCCGATGAAGGCAGCATTTTGATTGGCCAGTCTATAGCTGTTGGGGATAGATCACATAAAGCAAAAATAGCCACCTGGCTTATGTTGTCTTTGTAAGATCACGTCTACAACCACGGTGCCAATGTTGACTGATCTACAAAATGCTACGCATACACAGCTTGTGACCCCTTAAGTTCAATAAGTTAAGAGTGAGGATGGAGTCAGGCAACCTATAAAATTAATTAATTAGCATCCGACTCCACCAATGATGATTTCATTGATACTATCTTCTCCTTTGAAAGGAATTTCAGAAGCAGATTCTCTTCCATCCAACTGAATCAAAGCAGTAGGAGAAAGTGTAGAAAAACTTCTTTGCTTGGCACTAGCCTATCACTTGGAACTAAATATTATTATTAGCCCTTAAAAAATGCAAACAGGCCAGAGCTACAACGCTGATTGACAATGAGCTTACTCACATTGACCGAATACTATCTACAGGCATCTCATTATGACATTAAGGTAAAAGTACTTTCCCATTACCTTGATGAGTGTCATCTCATCACTTAGGTTCTCGAATCTCTGCTCCAGCCTCGAATACTCCTGGACAAGGTTTTGGTAACGAACTCTCTCCTCATCAAGCTCCTTCTTCATCACAAGATTTTCTTCAACTGCATTTTGTGCAACTTCATCTTATAAAAAAGCAGCAGGGAAAGAATCTTGAAGGGCACTGAAAACAGCGGACCACCTTCTGACATGGACAGTAACCTGTGGATGTAGCTTTTAACCAGACAGTGTGTCTATTGGTAATGCCCACTGCAGTCCAGAATGGAAATAAACTGGTTAGTGCTCTTAAAAGCAGCCTTCTGTCAGCTTACATTCTTAGACCTATGATCTACTTTGGTAGTATTATAAATAACTTAGAACATGTGCTCCAGTGCCTGTTCACGAACAGAGCAGCAACCCACAATAGAACGATTTTTTAAAAAATTAGTTCAACGAAGAGTTAAAATGCCCAGTTAATCAGGCATACTTTTTTTAAATGTAGCTATTTTTCATTTACACTTAAAAAAAAAAGGCAGAGGCCATTTGTGTACGGTATTATTCACTCTCACATTGCATGGATTTCCTTTAAAGAAGAAAGGAATACTTCAACATTCTTGCCTTACATGTGCACAAATTTACTCCAATGGTCAACTAATATTCATTTGGTCCGCTGAGTCAGTTGATATCTACATGAGGCATCTGACAGTTTCAGCCAGGAAAGGTATTTCTTTTAGCAAAATGTCAGACTACAGTGCTTCAGTAAAGTAACACCAAATGCTTACATTTCACACTTTCTTTTATTTTCCCACCTTTCTCTTTCACTTTGTTAATGTTTAACTGTTTTATGTTAAAGTGATTCTCCACCGTGTTGCCTCAATATTTTCTCAATACCCTGAATATAGTATGGGTTCAACATTCCTTCTTTTAAATTCTTTGATTGCTGACTTTTCAAGGCAGTTTCATGACAAAGGAACTGTTTAGCACAGGATGTTTTATTTCATGCTTAATTCCCTCCCCTCCACATGCCTCCAGTGATTAAATCAGTTTCTAACTATAATCATTCCACCTTCAAGACAGAGATTTCAAGCAATTTGAGATGAAGAAAAAGGCAACCGGTTTGAAGATTAGCACGATTATTATTCACAGTGGAACCAAAGGAAGGACGGACTCGTAAACATCTAATGAAAAAATATGAACCCTTTCATTTAGTTACCAATATTCATAAAGCCATTGGCTACTTCTCCCTACCTTCTGACTGACACAAGATTTTGTTGTTCAGTGCCTCTTTTTCCTCCTTCAGAAGCACATTCTCCTCTTCCAGGTCTGATATTCGCTAAGAAGAATACAAGAAAACCATGTTAGCTTCCATAAAGTTGGCCAATCAAAGGTCACTGTACTCTGTAGACTGATTGTGTTTCACCTTGGCTGGCTTTTATAGCAAAACCGGTTTTTTTCCTCCTTCCCTTACTAAAACAATGATACATAAAAATGAAAGTGTTGCTTTAAGCATATGCTAAGGAGTTGTTTTCAGTGCTATGTAAAGCAGGAATGCAACTTAAAATGAGCAAACCTTGATAGTATTTGTAACCTATGTTTGAGATAGTGAGATTTTTCTCATTATATTCCAGGGAATCTTGGCCTTCATAGAGCTTATTGGAAGGACGTTGATGGAAAGGTCAATAGCTGTGGATAGATTTTCCTGAAGATCGGCTAGTCTGTCCCCTGTAGTTCCAGGACAACATGATAGCAACTTTAGTGCAGTTTTCAGTGTCATGGTTGAGGTTTAAAGGTTTTGTTTAAAAACCAGGCTGAATGTTTTCTTATATACAATATAACACACTTTTGCTCTGTCCATACAGCATATCTGTTACCATATATTTTAAGGGTTTCCTTGGCAGATGAGTCAATGGGGGAAACACTTTCCTTATGGCAGAAAGATTTTAAATTGTTATATTTAAATAACTATTAATACAGCCCATCACCTACAAGAACAAGTTCATTATATTTTACCAGATGAACTATTTATCTCACATTTTCACTTGAAATGGATTATTTGACTCATTCACTTCATTCCCCCCCCTCGGAATGAAGTGAATGAGTCAAATAATTTTTTTTAAAAGGCAGTGAAAATCACAATTAAGCATATATCAAACAAAAAGCCATAATAAACTTCATTGTTATGTTTAGAAATGACAACAATTTATGTCACATGTAGGCATGCTTAATGAAGACTTCTGTACAACTCAAAAGCCTGCATACCTTCAGACCTTCCCTCTGCAAACACCTTCCCTATTTTATTTCCTTTTCAATGACAGCATCCTCTACTGATGCTTAGGATTACAAGTCTTCTGAGCATCTGCCCTACCTTTTGTACAAAGCCAACCATCCTCAGTGCAAAACCAGTCTCGTACAGCATGAATACTTCATCATCTTCGAGGATTATCTTTCAGTCACAATTACGTCAAGTTTCTCCTTCAGCAAGGAAAAGCTGGGACATGAGCCAAGCCCATCCAGGAAAAAAGTGAGGCTCACTTGTGCAGTGGTAACCTCAGCTGGAATACTGCAACACCCAGCCATTGCCTCCTTCCTAGGGCTGAGAGAGAGGGACTGGCCCAGAGTTACCCAGCTGGCTTCATGTCTAAGGCAGGACTAGAACTCACTCTCTCCTGGTTTCTAACCTGGTGCCTTAACCACTACACCAAACTGTCTCTCCAATTAATGAATTAGCATACCCAAAGAAGCTAAGTGTCTCTCTATCCACTACAGTTTGACTACCCTAAATTGCTTTGGACAAGTCATTTTAATGCTATCATTATTCTGTTACATGGGGGTGCACCAGACCACAGCCTGACCCTCCAAATGCTATTGTGCACAACAAAATTGCAGCTCACTGATGAATAAGTTTAATTTGGGAAACTGCTACTCAGATTATATGAGGATTTTGAGCAACTATAAAAAGAAGGCTTTGTACATCCATATCATAAAAATTTTTGTTGTAGGAGTACGACTAGCAATTTATGTCATCTGTATAACTGTCTACTTTTTAATGTATGTTCATACATTTTCCCTCACTTTTCTCAGCAGGAAAAATCTGCAGAGGCATTTTATCAGTAATTGCACATGACATTAAAAGCAAGTACAAATGGAAAGCAGGAAGCAGCGGGGAGAAACTTTTAATACCAAAGACATTCAAGCTGCTATATAATGAATTACTCAATATGCTACAAAACAGAAGGGATGGATGGAAGAAAACACCCCAAAAAGCAACAAAATTAGAGCAGCTTTTAAATACCAGTGCCCAGCTGGGTGGCACCACCTTGACTGATCTCAAAAACAACATCAGATCTGGTAAGTGCCTGGATCCAACTGAAACATCAGAGCTATTAAATGTTTGGATGGGAGACTACCAGGAAATTCTACTGTTATAGGCTAAATTGAGAAATTGTAAAAAAAAAAAAAAAAACTCTAGAAGAAGACAATGGTAAACCATTTTTAAATGGCTGCCGAGAA